AGCACTGCAGTGCCCAACAGAGTAGCTCAACATCGATGTCTCAAGCAATTTGGTGGTAATACTTGTTCGTTACTCAAGTAATTTGGAATGTTTTGGTGGAGCTACCCGCTATCCTAACATTATTCGCGAACATTAGTTTGTAATCTTCAAGTTTCAGGGCAGGGTTGTGGTTAATGGTCGGTAGCACGCTTAGTTCCAACTGCAGCGATTCTTCAGTGTTCACCGCCTAGAAAACTCAAATTTTTACTATTCCACAATCTATTATCATAGCGAAGTAATAATGGTATACATGGGAGCAAGCTGGATTTCGTAAGCAAACTTTCTTTAGCTTAAATCCCAAACAGCTCCCGGAAGAAAAAACATTGGTAGCTTCGAGGCCAATTTGTCCTTGGTGAAGAGCAGTTGTCTATTAAAACGAGGTAGTGTCAGCACAAAAATCGACTAACGTGCTACGGTCTTGTGGAAAGGAACTGCAGTTTGCACAGAAAAGGGAGGTGTTTTTCCTAGGGACTGGCTTTTATCCGTAAACATTCAGTTCGACTTACTGCCAACTGACCATTGGTCAGCTCAGCTTCTGACAGTGAGGTCAGGGCACCTCAGTTTCGAATTCCCTCAGTCAAAACAATATTTATTAGTGAGAAAGCAGACGTCTTCTCCCTACTCCCCCTCCTCCCTCCTCCTCTCGCTTGAAAATTGCGTCTTTCAACTTTTTTATAGCCTTCGGGTGGTCAGAAATAACGAAACTGTAACTTAAAGAAGTTTTTCAACTGTACCGCCTTACTCAAAATCGTAATGAAGTTACTCGATAATACAAGGTAATAGTTGCTACTGAAGTCATCTCACGTTTTTGAGACAAATCGTTTCCGCCTTGCGCTTAATATCAAATTAAGTTGAGCCTATCTCTTAACGAGCCAGTTTTTAACATCTTGCTCAGCTTCTCTGAATTTCTTATACATTTGGGAAAACTCGTGCTTTCACCCTGAGTTACAATTGAATAAGTTGTTAATTCCCACAGTTTGATTCTGCATCTCTATATTTGATAACTCTTCCAGTTGCTCTGACCAGCGCTGCGTCTCCTCGTGATCAACGAGTTAGTGATCCTCACATTCGTTACTTTTCCTGATTTCTTCTCCAACTGCCCGGCAAGACTAATCAATTGCATTTAAAGAAAGGATATCTTAAACAACGCACTGAATGTATTGGGGGCAATTTCGGGTTTCTGCTTCGTCAGCACTTCGCGATTTTCAACAATGAACTCCTGTGCCTTACTGCTCGGCCATGTTCCGTATTCACCTGCAACAATGAGGAATTACTCATCAATGCTCATTCCCCTTATCAGCTGCAAGCACTACCTCTTGAGAGAGCTCGCTTCACTGGAATACTAATGACCCGGATTTACAGCACATTCCATTTAACAGTACTTTGACTATCGTTCTAACCAATTCTTATTAATATTTTTTCCAGTTTCTACTGTTTCACACATTAACAGCTCTTCTTCGTTTCGTTTTTTTGATCCGAAGATCAATGCTGCGTTTTTGTTTCTGGTGGTTTTTACAACAAAAATGTATATTATTATGTCCAGATCCGGAGTAGTGTGG